CCGCCCCCCCCTCCGTGATTTGCCATAGGCCCCGCGGCGGCCGGTGTCACCGGGGAGCAGCGCCGGGACTTGCTGTTCGGGGAGGGTGACAGCCCCGGCTGCCGATGTCCCTAGGGCCAGTACCCCCCAGCCCCACTTTACAGGCATGGTGACAGCCCGGCTGCCGGTGTCCCCAGGGCCAGCATCCCCCAACGCCGCTGTACGGGGAAGGTGACAGCCCCAGCTGCTGGTGACCCCAGGGCCAGCGCCCTTTGACGCTGCTCTACAGCCCCGACCCTGCAGTGTGGATGGGTTGATCACAACAGCCCCAACCCCACGGTCCCCAGGGACACACGTTGCTCTGACAGATGCCATCTCCTCTTCCCTCTTGTCTTGTTACACAGCTACAGCTTTAGCTGCATCCCCAAGAACGAGGCTTAGAGTCCCCCCATGCCTGTAACACCCAGGGCCTGCAGGCACCAATGCCCTCCGTCTCCTGCAGTGACATGACTCCCCTCAAGGAGCAAACCCGCACCTTCCCACGATGGTTAGAGGAGAAAGGAAACTAGAAGGAAACTCCTAGAAACAGGAATTTTAATGATTTCTCACCCCAAGCATGTTTTTTTGTTTTGTTTTGTTTTTTAAATACACTTCACGTTGCTCTCATAAAAGATCACCCTGCACGTTCCTTACTCGGGTGGATAGTTTTGAAGTCATTGCAGTTTATTGTAAGTATTTTGCCAACAGTTATTCTTGTAATTGCAGGTTTTCTGTAGGACTGGCTGCACAAGGTTTTGTAAATGTTTTGTGGGGAGGTGAGATTGAAAGTTAGGTCTCTTGCCACTGCCTTCAGAGTTTAAGCAAAAGATAAATCCTGGTTGTGATCAAAATAGCAGTTACCAGCATCTGTGAATAGAGATGACATTTCAGAATGTTTTTTTCCACAGTTTTTTATTGCTTTAGAGCAGATTGACAAACATTGCTTTAAAGGGATTTGAGGGAGTGATATGAAAAACTTCAGAGCTGGCTCAAGAAATGCTTTTGGTTGTGAATTGTTGGTTATTTGATGGCAATAGATATTGTATTGCTAGAGATGCGCCTGGTGCATTGCCATGTGCATTTTCAGTAATAGAGAGAAGAAAAAAAGAGCTACTTAAACTATCATATGCTGTTAGCTAGAACTGGAGATCCGGTTTTCTTTAGAGTCTCCTAGTTAAACTAGTCTTGAAAACAAATTTAGGCAGAACACAGCTGCCAGCTTTTGGTTTTTATTCTTGCAGTGAAGAAAAACAGCTAAGCCCTGCTTTTCTCTCCAGGTATACAAACTCTGCTTGTAGAAGTGCTTAATTTGAAGCATCTGCCAGCATTATTGAGCTGCAACATTTGTAGCTGAGATCAGATATTGAAAAAAAAAAAAATGTTGGTTTAAACATGGAGTCATTACTACACCTTTCAAAGGCAAATGAATCAGGGTTCTCAAAGAGAAACAGTTCAATATATTGTTTTCAACTGAAATTCTTTTTTTTTCCTGATACCATTTAACCATCCCCGCTTCATTCCTGTACACACTCAACAGGATGAGACAGGGGCATATCTCATCGATAGAGACCCCACGTATTTTGGTCCGATACTGAACTACCTCCGACACGGGAAGCTCATCATAAACAAGGAGCTTGCAGAAGAAGGTGAGAGAAAATTACAGGGTGAGAACTTCAAATGCTGTTTGATAGCAGCATCCACAATACATCATCAGAAACTTGCCTGAGTGCGTAGGGTTCCTGACATGGTGATATGTAAGGGTGTGAGAAGCCGCATTTCCCAGTAGTGCTGCTAGTTAGTACCATTAGTTTCTCAGAAGGGTGCTCATTAACAGGGATTAAATCATTAGATTCTGCATCTTCCTGAAAACAGAGACCTGCAGCTTACAACACAACCTATCACTGTTCTGCTTAACTCAAAGGCTTCCGTTAGCAGAGCAAAAGATCCGTTAGCACATCTCCTCTCCCTCCACAGATAGCAGTTCTCCATAAGCAGGCCGCTTTGGTGACATTCCCCTAACGGGGCTGCACAAACAAAATAGAGATTGTACCTGAGGTTTCTGATAATCCCAGGGAAAGGGGAATAATCTTTCTTTAAGATCCTCTAAGTCACAAAAGCAGATGACAACTGGTTGGTCATTTTCTCCCAGCGTGGGAACACGAGATCAATGGCACAGCCTATTCAGCATTCAGGGATTTTCTCACATCTGGGCTAGATTTGGAGGCAGGAGCAGGTGTTGCACCCTTGTAACAGAATCGTCTTAATCGTACCCTGTACAAAGTAACAGAATCTCTCTCTGCTTTTGGTTCTTTTCCTAGGGGTACTGGAAGAAGCCGAGTTTTACAATATTGCATCTCTTGTGCGGCTGGTCAAGGAGCGGATACGGGATAACGAGAACAGAACCTCTCAAGTAATGCACAGGAATATTTGCGTTATGAAGTCAGTCGTTTTCTGTAGTGCAGTAGAAGGACACGTGTTGCTGTAGACATTTCTAGTAACAGTTCTTTGTAGTCGCCTTTAATGGGGAATAATGCTTTTAGGTAGATCCAAGGCACAGTTAGAACAGAGTATCCATTATAGTTTTATAAGCACAGACCACTGAGTCATCTTGTTAGCACTGCAAGGAAAGACAATGAACACTGAAACAAGAGGGGCCAGAAGCAAAGATGGATAGTTATAAAGCACAACATACTGCTTTGGGATATAAAGAATAGCTCAAACTCTTCCTTCTCTGAACTATTTTCTTCCCCTTATATCTGTCTCTGTTGCAGTTTTTCCCATTGCTGTGTAGTTGATATTAACACACCCAGTAGATTCCATTTCAGAAGAGAAATGTTTTCAAAAAGGAGAAAACGGCTTTGAAGGCCAAAGTAGTTTTGCTTTCACTGGCTCTTAGACACCTAGAAGGCTTTTAAGAGAAGTGTGCCAACCATATGTACCTGGTTTAGAATTGGTTGGATGGTCAGAGGGATGCTCAGGAAACCTGCAGGGCCCAGACTTCCTCAAATAACAAGACAGAGGAAGAGAGGCTTATTAATTCCCTAGCTTGATACTAGCATAACAATTACTAAACTCACACTTATTTTTATTCTCCATGCTTTAGGGACCTGTGAAGCATGTGTACAGAGTCCTACAGTGCCAAGAGGAAGAGCTCACACAGATGGTGTCCACTATGTCCGACGGGTGGAAATTTGAACAGGTACCGTTACCAAAAAATGGCAGAATCCCTTTGAAAGCTGCATATGGAATAAGCGGAGTTTGCTATGGAATTGTGCTTCACACTGCTCTTCTCTTTTGAATAAGCAGTGTGAACTGAGCAGCAATCCACTTATGCAAAATAACTGACAGGGAAAGGCAGAATTCGCTCAGACTGCCAAGAGAGATTTCATTTTTTCTCGGGACTTCTTGTATCCTTGTCAAATCCCAGAGTGATTCTTCCTTTCTCCTGCATTTCATCACATATACCAGGCCCCAGTACAACAGATTTATGCAGGAAAGTTAATAGAGCCATGAAAAAAATACAGCACGACTTTTCTGGAAGCTCAAAGCCATGACTCCTGCATTTGCCAGGGAGGCGCTGAGTGACATGAGAAGTACACTTCCTGCAGATGCCTTTGTAATGCAGCCAGTTTCAGGGCTAGGTGTCACTGAAGTTGCATATGGCATTAGTTCCAGCTTTGGTTCTGGAATCAAATACAGTCCTCTTATTTAGGAGGATGGAGAACTGGAAACCAGCTGGCCTGCATGTTAATGCTATATTAAGAAACTGCAGGATAGGCTCTGTGGATTACAGCTCTGCTGTCTTCCCAATTAGTCCAGCTTCAGTACAAGTGGATGGTGTGGGAAATGTGCTGACACAAAGCGAGGCATAGGATTGGCAACAGCTCTTTGCATCACTTGTTCATATATATCTGTTCTGTAATGCCTGAAAACTCCTATTGCATAGTGGAGAGGCAGCCAAAAACTCTTGCCCCTGTGAGCCAGTAGTGAAATCTTCTGACCAAGAGCCACAAGCTGCTTTATGGAAATGTGGTTCTCCAACACCCAGGTTTTGCTCTCCAAAGATTTACTTAAATGTTGCGTTTCACACATGTACGTACACATCCCCAAACCCAAATGGCTATAGGCAGTGCCCTGGACGGGAATCTACACCCTTATCTCTTTCCTAGTCTTGCTTTTCAAATCTATAATGATAGGGTCAAGATACTGCTTACAACCAAATGCTAGCGTGTTCCCTTCTTGTTCCCACCTTCTCTCTGCCATCCACAACCTTTGCACAAACCGAGATCCCTGCCAGCCTCCTCCTTCCCGTACACTGCAAGCACCAGGAAAGTTTCCTGCACATCCCACTCCAGCACGCTCGCAGCATCAGGAGCGGTTCTTGCCCTCCCCTGGTACTTGCATTCAGCTCAAACACCCCCAAGGGCAGCAAGCCTAAACAGGACAGACAGATATGATGCTTTGGTGAGGGCTAAACCTCACACAGCAGTACAGCCTCTCTCCAGCTGCGAGATGGTCCAGACTGGGTCACAGAGCAGGAACATGGCAGTGGTGCAGCACGGGAATGTCCCATGCTGAAATGGGCCCTGCTGGGAGGCACATTGTAGCTGCAGCCGAGTGTCAAGGTCTTTCCCCAGATGTGCAACAGGGCATGGCTTCTGCCCATCCCCAAATCACATGACTTGGCACGCTGAGACATGTTAGGAAAAATAGTAACAGATCTGCCTATTGGGGACAAAGAGAGCCTATTGCTAAATCTCAGCCTGGATGCCAGTGATTGAACAGAGCAGACAGTCCCCTCGTGGGCTGTTTGCATCTAGTCACTTCATAACGTCAAAAACACTGGTTCGGAAGCCTGCAGCAAAGGCAGAAGTGGCAAAAGCTGTTACAGTCTTATTGGCTATCAGGCTTGGGTTCTCAGAGGAGCATGTGGCCTTTCAGGTTCTCTGCCTTGTACCATTCAGTCCTGCTTAAATTAAGGATGGAAAAGAAATTTGCTATTTTAAACAGAAATCCATTCTCCTGTCCAACTACAGTTCCGTAGTCTGGAAAGTTGCTGTCTTTACCAAAAGATACTTTGTGTTTGCTGAGTAAACAGTGGTGGGTGCTATTGAAATATCCAAGAGCTTAAACAGTCAAGACAGGGAGCAGGGAAGCAAAGGAAAAAAATGTCTTTTTTTTTTTTTTTTTAATCCTGTGCCTATCTTTTGCCCTCAGCGCAAACATTAAAACCTATTTAAAACAGTACTGGCGGTCAGTCGGTACGACAGCCCCCCAAGTCTTCCTGCAGCTGCACGGTAACCGTATCATCATCTGTCTAGGAAAGCTGTTGACTGCATCTGTCTCTTATATAAATAGGGAGCACTCGCTTCTAAAATCCATTAGGACATGGAAGTTAGGGTGCATGCTGCATATTAAAGTTTCCTAGATATACGCAGTTGATAAGATTCACATTGCTTTCTTGTGATTACTTAGATTTATTATCTGGAAAGCAGAACTGAGTTGTAAATGACAAATTGGCTCTGCACTCCAGGATGTCCTTTTAATGTAATAATGATAAATGAGACAGATGGGATTTCTTGGATCGACTCCAAACCCCTCATCACAACAGTAATAGAATATAATCCTATTTATACAGATAATCAAACTCCATCTTGACAGCATCTATGCAAAGAATGGTGCCAGTTTGCCACATGTGCCCTAGTTAATCTAACATCTGCCTGTGGTAAAGAACTGCCTTTCCAGTTTTTACACATCAAAGTCAAAAGGCAAGTTGAGAGCTGAGTCCAATGTAGTCTGGACCAGGAAGCCTACATTGCCTGCCCCGTGTCTGAATTAGCTAGATATTACATATTGCAAAATCTGGCGTGTTTTTCCCTTTTCTGCCCTCAGTAATTGGAAAATGTTCTGTTGTGTTCAGCCTTACAGTTTCAGGCTGGAATTTTTTTCCGGGGTTCCAGGTGCCACTAGAGGGCTCTGAAGCTCGGCTGTGCCCCTGCCTTAGGCACACAGGAAAGCCTGTGACACTGGAGGCCCCGGGGAGATACTTCAGGTGCAGAACAGGTCTTACTGGACAGTCGTACCTCACAGCGCAATTGTAGGAGTAAAGCAAGAGTCAAAACTTATTGATAGTTACCTGGGCTGTCTCCTGTTGCACAGCTAATCAGCATTGGATCTTTTTTTTTTTTTTTTTTCCTGAGGATGGCAATAAAAGGCGACATTCTTAACTCCTGGCAGGCAGCTAAGCAGAGTTTCTAGAGAAGGGGCTCACTTAGCTCTAACCAGCCTGTCATTTGTTATGGAAGCATAAAAGCCAGCCAGCTACTCTCACATTAGTCCATCTTTCCTTTCTCTGTGAAAAGGACACTGAACGTGAACTTTTGCATCTGAACTAGTCGAAGGTATTTATAGAAGCTCTATTCTTTTTCAGATTCTTCAAGAGCGAGGATCCCGGATGTAATTCAAGTGTCCACTCTGTTAAAACTCCCAGATGTCAAAAGGGCAGTCTAGCTGGGCAGAGCATCTCTCCGCAGTGCAACCTCGCCCTTGTACAGTAACCCAGCTAATGCAAAGCAAAGCCGAGCCTGTCCTGCCAACAGCGAATAATTCTGGTCATAACCAAAGGCTTCCCTCTTACCCTGGAAACCAAGGAAGGAAAAGACTCTTCCAGTTGGATAGTCCTTTCCACAAGTATTTGTTTTACTTTCTTGGCCAGCGCTGTATTGAATTTTTCCAACAATGGCTGGGCCGGATTCCCAGTCGGAGCCTTTGCGAAGGTTGCTCAGGTCCACAGGCCCTTGTAATCAGTCCCACCTTCCACAGGCTGGCGTGGGTGGGAAGATCGGTATTTGAGCTGTGCCATTTCTTGCACCCAGGTCTGCCACCAGAAAAGTACAGGGACCTTGCAATGCTGCCCCTCCTGATCAGCCAGCCCCCCCACCCCACCCCTATCAGAAGAACAGGGCTTTAAAAGGAGGAACAAAACAACTGCTCGTAAAAACAACCACGCAAACTTTTCCATTCTTGCTTTGTATTTAAATGTTCCTTGTTCAATTCCTAAGAGCTGAGTTTAGATACTAAGGGGAGGGGACTGTGTGTACATCTAACACAGGTCTCGCTGTTAACACTATTACACACGGGCTCCTGGCTTTTTCCAAAGCCCGTTACTTTGCATGCATAAACAAAGAGACCCGTCTTCACCCAGCATAGCGATAGAGTGATAATTCTGTCCTTTATGCTTCTCTACTGAAGAAGAGTGGCGACATCTTCCCCTCCAATACCCTGCCACGGCCATATCTTCGCCTGGTGCAAAGTCACAAGGTTAGGGACTTGTTGCTGCCAAGTTCAGCTTTGCCTTGTTTGTCTCCAGCAGCGTGGGCTCTGTCTCCTTCCTCCTCACCAAGGGAGGACTTCAGGCAGAATTTCTTTTGTACTGTAGCAAGCAGGTAGGTTTGGTTTAACCCACGAGATCCTTTGCGGAGGAGATCCCCTATTTACATGCAGTGATTTATCTGCAGCCCCCTCATGTCCCCACCTTTAAGAGATCACCTCAAATTACAGAGGGGCATCACAGAGTTGGGGTGGGGGAATTTGGTGAAGAGTTGCCAAACTGTTGTAATGTTTCTTGTCCAAAGTGATGTGTTGACTTCTGTGACTTTTGGGGTTTTTTGGGGTTTTTTTTTTTTTTTTGAATGCCTTGGATGGATGTGCAAAATGTTCGTTTGTGCCTCTCTTGAATTCTGATCTTAGCCAAACTGCAGACACTGGTTCCCCTCTGTTAATCTGTGCCATCCCTAACCAAGGGCATGTCCCTCCTAGTCTGGTAAATGGAATTTCTTAGGAATTTGCTGCATGTTTTCTCCCTTTCATCCTGGCTTTGTTCTTTGTAGCCCAAGTGTCCAGGCACTTTGGTCTTTTTGAGTGAAGTCTCAAACTGACATTAAACACAAAGCTTCACAGATGCTGGAATTCAGAGACATTGACAAGCTCAGAGCAGATGCTTCTCAATAAGGTATCAGAAAATTCCTCACCTGGACTGAGGAGTTGGGCTCCTTTCTGGAGGACTTCAGCTACCTGTGGTCTCCTTAAAGTTTTGAGATAGAATTAGGCAAGTTTCCCATCTTATCACTTGTTGCTGATGGGGCTTTGCAGCAGCAGAACCTTACCAACGGTCCAACAACTGGTTCAGCAAAGAAGACACGCAGCAAAGACCCCAGGTGACACTGCTGCACTCTGCCTCTTTTCACTCCTTCTGTACGTACTCTTGCCTGTCCTCTCCCATCCTGCTTTGCCAACACACCTCCTCTGGTGGAGGCTTTGCCTCATTCTCGAGAATGACTGGTTAATTATCTGTGCTAGTTTAATCCTGGTAACAACGGACTGTGCCAAATGTCTTTGAATTCACGTTGTGTCAGTTACAGGCTGTTGAAACGCAGCTGGCTTGCCATCACGCTGAAGAACCCAGCTCCTCTTCTTCCCACCATCTTCCCTGTTTATAATGTGGTGAGATGGTATTGGTGTGATTAGACCGTACGCCTTGGCTGGGCCTAAATAACACTGTGATGTGTATAGATATCTCTCCTCTGTCGGTATCGTGTAGCCTCAGTCATTGTCTGTCTGTGCTCACAGCTAAGAAATCAAGCGCATGTATGCAAGTTAGCAGCCTAAAAAGCCCTTTAACACTCATCTGTCATCTTTCCCTTCCTCAGAGGAGGGAATTTCTGGGAACTGGTCAAGAAATATCAAACTAAAGGCAACAGGAACTGGTTGAGCTGCTTTTGTCACGTCAGTGCCAGCTGACCACCTTGCTGTTCAAACCATGGAGCTCAAAGCAACTCTAGTTGCAAAGGGAAACTTCCTGTCCAGTACAGCTCAAATAGATAAGAACAATACCTCGTTGCTTTTTCGTATCGCCAAAAATGCCATACGCGGTGAAGCCCACCGGAGGACTACGTGATGCAAGAGTTGCGCCGTCACTCTCCCCTCTGAGCCACAGAGGGCCGACGAATTGTCGTTGCCAGTTGAGCAGAGCAGCTGTTTAACTCACATGCACAGGAACGACTATCAAAGTCACATCGTGGTGTTCCCCTCCGCACTGCTCTCTGCAGCGAGGACGTGCCAGGGGACTGAAGACTCTTTGGGTTCAATTGCAGGGTCTTAAAGTTCAACAGAACAAGTTTATGGTAGAAAACCAATCATTGGTACTGGACGCTCGAGTTCTTGGGTGATATTTAGGACCAGGCATGCAGTCCATCCAGAGCAGGTACATTCCCAGTGGAGGATTTCTCCTTTCCTGACTGTGCTAGGTCACCGTCACCCTGAGACCACGGCTGGGCTCAGCATTATGCACCAGCTGCATCCCTTCTGTGCTCAAGACAGGGCTTTTCCTTCCATTGCCTTTCACTCAGTCACAACTATATCGAAACTAGCGCTGAATTATGATGAAATTTGTCCCATTCACTCAAAAAAGGTAGCATGTTGTGGTGAGTAGGGTAGGTGAGCAGGGGTAGATCTACTGGATATCTAAGAGTGCTCGTGCCTCTTGGGGAGGTTCACTTTAAAGCATTAATCCTGGGAATGGAGAGTACAACGCTTTGGTTTTTTTTTTAAACTTTCCCAGTGGCCTAAATTGTTCCATTATGGCAAGACTGGAAATAACTTCTTAAAGTGTCTTTGTTTCCGCACATTTTTTTAAAAACAAATCAATTTTTCTCAGGGGTGACTGAGTGGGCTGAGGCAAAGGGGGCATGGTTCGCTGCAGGGCGGTGGGACGGAGCAGCTCCCCAGTCCTGCAACTGCACCGCGGGCTCCTCCCCTCGGGTTTGCCTGCAAACCCAGAGGTTTTGTACAGTTTGTCACGTGTCAGTGCCCTTTGCTACTGTTTCTCTTTGTTTATTAAATGTGTTTGAATAACAGTTGAGATGCTGTGATTAATTATTTTTTTTTCAATAAAGGTTCTGAACTGAGTTTGAGAAGTTTGACCCAAGTCTGCAGCCTGCTGCTTCCTCTGCATCTGTTTGCCACCCTACCACACAAACCCTGCGTGATGGGGAAAGAAACGTGAAAATTGGGTACCTGCTTCTGCCTCCATTTATAACAATGATTTGCCAAGAGAAAAATATAATTAGATTGTGGAGTCCTTCTAGGTTAGTATCAGAGAAAAAGGCAAACTGAAGCATGTTTCCAATTTTCTGCTATACAAGAGACTCTAAACTTCAACATTTACCATTTCCATTGACAACACGAGCAAGTAGAATGTTAATACAGGCATTAAATGTGAGTAGCTAAGAAAGGAAGAGGATTTTTGTCAGCTTTCATTTGCTAAACCCCAACTCGACCCTGGGCCAGCACACCTGGCAGAAAGGTGTGATCCCTTCAGGCAGCTTTGCCCCTTCCTCTGCCACAAAAGGCCCACACTGAACACCTGCAGAAGCTTGCAAACAGCTCTCCGCTTCCCCCACAAGACCAAAGAGACAAGGTTCTTGCCATCAGCACGACAAAAATGGAATGAACATGAGAAAAATAAGTGGAGTGTCTTCAAACGAGCTTCCTCCCTTGCGTTCTGAGCTTGCAGCTGACTGCTGGACAAGAGACTGCCCTGGGCAGTAGCCCAGAAGCCCTGGAAGGTGTTTTAAATAGTTGCTCTGTTACCTCCGCCCCGAAAGCTGCCAGCCTTCCCTGGGGTTGTGTCTTTAGCAAGACCAGAGGATTAGCCGAGATTTAGGTTCTTTCCTGTTTACAGAGCACTGCAACTCAGAAATGCTCAAAACGCAGAGGTACCAACAGATGGATGAGCAGTGGGGAGGCAAAGAGGCAAACCAGATATTCAAGCTTTGGTGATGCTGGAAGTTGGATAAAATTGGCAATTCAGTCCCAATGCAGAGGGGAAAGGAGGAAGAACAAAGACATAAGTGAAGAATGGGAATATTTGGATTAATTTAGTCTTACTTTTGACTACAAGCAGCTGCTGTCCGCTGTAGCTGCTCTGAAGGCGGCCCCGCAGGCACGCTGCCTCCACTCCACTCCATCCGCCACCTCAACGCAACAGAGCAGGGAAGGGGTTGGCACATCCCCAAATGAGGGTTTAACGCCAATGCGGTGGAAGAAAAGGAGGCTTTCCCTCCATGGAGCGGGCAGGAACCATGGCTGAGCCATATCCTTGACACATCCCTATATCTCTGTGCCAGACCTGGCTGCAGGTCTGGACTGCCAGCGAACTTGCCCGAAGTGGAGCCATGCTCTAGTGCTGGCAGCATCTTGGGCAGAGATGGAAACTGCAGGGCCGGCACTGCTGACGCCACATGCATATTCATTCATGTTCACAAGGTAGGACTTGTCAGCAGAAATCCAAATTACAGCCGTCATTTCAGGCCTGCAGCCATAACCTCCCTGCTCTCCCACTTCGGGACTGTCCTATAAGGCCACGTAGGCTGGAAAAGGACCTTTAACTGGCTCCATGTC